TTTAGTTGTTCAATTATTTAAATTTTTGTAGAAGTTTCCGAAAATTTCCGTTTTGTTTTAATGGGATTTCTATCATATTTCAATTCTTGATTTATTTCACATTGATTAATTGCGATTTCAAAAAGTTGCATTAATTAGAGATAATATATTTTTTTTTTATTTGGTTGTATGTTTCTTGAATACCTGTGAGAAGCTTTCTCTAATATGATATAAAGAGATCTGTTTTACTCTTTTACTTGTTCATTTGAAAACATTTCGAAGCAAAATCATCTAGTTGGACATTCGAAGGAACATTTCAATCATCGGTTTTGACTGAAGTTCCAGGTTGATTATCAGTGATCGAGCGACGAGAGCAGTAATGTTTGTTGAGTAATCAGAAGTCCAAGACTTCAGTACAAGATCGACTGAGTATCCATCCGTTGCATAATTTGCATTTCCAATTCCTGAAACCGAAACAAAGGATTTAGGTTTACACAGATGAAGTTGGTTTGTGAAGCGACTTGTGACAAAGTGAATCTGTGAGCCAGAGTCCGATAGTGAGCGACAAGGTACGAAAGTTTCGGAACGCTTCTTTACTAAAACGATTGCAGTAGTTATAAGATAGAGATCGGGAAGCAGAGATGTCAGGCTGCGCTAGCATCATTGCAGTCATGACATTAGCTTGGACAGAATTTGATATTAATGGTAACTCGGGAATATTAGCTGGGGCTGATGGTAAACGATTAAAATGTAAAAGCGTGTGATGCTTTGAATGACAGTTTCGACAAGAACTAGATTTGCTGGCTCTCATCTTTCTTTAAACATTTCAGACAAAGTAAAAGTTTCTTAGCCCCTTTCTGGTAAAGGTTAGGCGAAAGATTTAAAAACCGTTGGCAATTATAAATCAAATGCTCAGCATCTCCACAAAATATACAACCACCCAGTAAGCTGTTTCAAGCGACAAAGGATCTTATTTGATGTATACTCACTGTTTTTCCAGTTTTACCAAAAGTATCAGCTAGTGTTTGCATTGCATCCTCCACGTTCTCGACGGTACGATATCGATGTTCTTACAATGTAGCCATTGATTCCTACGATGGTAACTCGTTTATTAAACAACTTTCTTTACATTTTGCTTGAGTTACTTTGTTCAATTTTTGAGTTAAAAATTGCACGACTATGCGTCCGCTATTTGCTCTTTGGAACCAAGTGACTGCAACGCACGTATATGCGAAGTAAACTTGTCCGTCAACGCTCGCAGCTTGCCGAAGGTGGGGTCTGCTTTGTCCATCCCGAAAATCTCCCTGATATGGGTCGGAAAAATAAGACGTTTGTTATCGAATCGTTTCATAAGCAGATCTAGTGCAATTTTATAGTTATCTTAATTTATTTCCAACAATCGTATGGTGTCAAGGGCAGCACCACTTAAGCAGTAAGTAGCAAATGCTGAAGTTTGTCCACTCGGCTTATGCCACTGTCCTTATCGATGGCTGATGTGATCATCGAATAGAAATTTGTCCTCTCTATATAGGATCCGCTGAATTTATGCAACGTTAATAGTGGCAAACGTAAACGATTAGTATCTACTATAATAGGATTGGATTCTTCTTTATGGAATCTTTATGGAGGGGTTATTATTCTTCTAAGTGACGATTTCTGGCCCCAACTGTGCTTTTTGGCCTAGGCGTATGAGCAAGTGAATCCCACGATGAATATCTGGAGTTGTCAGCTGTGACCTCATCATTATCATAAATTTGTATATGTATCCAAAGATACGCTATATTGTTCCGAATGAGTTGATATATTGAAATGAAAAAGATATTTCGGATCTATCAATTGAGATATGCAAGACCTTTTGACGAGTTTCTGGTAGAGAGATGTGAGACGCGCAAGGTTGCGGCCAGAAAGATTCAACGTTTTCCAAAAATTGAGGACCATGCATCCAAAGCTTTGACCTTGGGAGCTCCTTTAGTGTAGCACCCTTGTAAAGAATGTCAGCTGGATCCATGGACGTGGGAATTTACCGCCACCGCATGCCTTATGTTAGCTGTTATGTGGCAAATCCGATTGGCGACAAATACGTTGAACTTTGAGGGTTCCTCTCGCAGACATGATTGGACCACTTACAAAGCGGACCAGTAATAATAAGAACAATCAAATATATTAATTTTTGTTAATTCAGATAATAATTGCTCACTGAAGTATATTATCTAAAGCATTTACGCGAACACATCGATACATTTTGCAAATGTCCCCAGTAAGTGCAATTGCAAAGGCACGAAAACGAAGAAAAGTGTTGAAAAGTTTAGGTTGAATTGTAGGACATGTCATGAGTAAAACATTTAAGGATAACCCTGAACTTGTGGCCACAGAACCGTCAAAAACAACTCTCAATTTCGTTCACGTGCTATCATCCTTAATGACGCAATGATGAGGTAGAAAGTACCTGCATTCAGAAATCACTGTTAACGACATGTGCCAAGATTATTCCTTCATGATCGAGCTATATTTTGCCTTTAAATTAGGATTCCTACCAAGAATGCGTTCAATATTCTCGAATCAAGCTGTGCTTAATGCTTCTTTTTATTTGTTAGAATGATCTGTGTCTTATACTTATTAACTATTCAATTTTTTATATAAAAATGATCGTCTAACTCTTCTTCGGCTGAGTGTATGTATTGTTGCTGTTTCTTCGTCTTCTATGTTGTTGATTGAAAATTTTTAACTATTGGAATTCGTGTCATCCATTTTTTCTGAAATAATATCCTCATTTTCTTTTATCTTACTTAAAAAGTCAGCTACTTTGTTTCCTTCGATTAAGTGGTCTAGATTTAATCTTTCTAAATTTGAATCTGCATCTTCAAGTGTACAAATTGGATTTGAATCGTTTAATTTGTTTAAAAGTACATTCTCTTCGATTTGAAGTTATAATACCCTTTTCTATGTCTATATATGCGTTGAAAGCATATCCATGCCTATAATAAATTCACATTTACTTACTGTGAGCGGTGTGGCTCTCTAACGTGTTCTTGTATTATTAGGTAAATTAAATTCGTACGGTGCTAATGTGTGCACTTCATAATTAATGTCATCCTCGTTTGTTAATGAATTTTTTAATTTAGCCTTTAAAAAATCAGTAATTTCGCTATTAATCAGGCTTAAACTAGCTCCTGTCTCGATTATGTTAGCGCAATAAAACTTTTTCTTTAAAATTAATTTTTATTTCAATTAAGTATTCTGAATTCGTTGGTCAATATTTATTACTATATCTCCCGCTATTATTTTGTTAACATCGCCCTGATGTATTATGTCTAGCATTAGTTTGATTCATTTGATTGAATGAAGATAGATTTTTAATATAAAAATGTATATTATATCTCTGTGCTCTATCAGGATTTCTACTACTTCATTTGTCCGTCGGACTATCTCGTTTTAATTTAATTTCTATATTCTGGTCAAATGCTACTATCCTCAAGTCTTCTATTTGTCATTATTTTCATTATATTATTAAAATTTCCTATATATATGTATATGTTTATAGTGTAGTTTCAATTTTTTTATAGCGTTTTCGTCTCGATGAAAATGTTGCCTCTTTGTACGGCAACATTATATAAATGTTCCATTTTTTACATGACAAATAAACAAACAAAATGCCAACTAAATCACAAAAGTGATCGATTCGGTATAGTTAGTACAAAAACTTGATTTAAATATAATAACTATCAAAAACGAAAAATAAAAATCGCCTGGGCAACTCGCAGCCTTACGTTTTGAAAAGGGTAGAAAATTATGCACTTTTTTCAGGCAAGAAGGCAACATTGTGAGAAAAGAACACGAAACTAAGACAGTTCAGGCATAGGGCAGAATAAATGCAACATTATTGTGAGAAAAGAAAACGCTATTAATGCACACCTTCTCGCAAATTAATTTCACTCTCTACAATAAGTGTTAACTACACCCTTGGTGGGGTCTATTTTTGTAGTCAGTTAACAAAAATATTATTTTTATTTTGTTATATTCTGGAGGGTCTGGTCAACTCTTGAGATGGCTTCAGATTCACAGACTTATTTTGGGGGATTATATAAAAAGAAACGGTTATATTGACTTTCTAGAATTTTTTTATGTTTTTTTAAAGGATTTTTGTTGAGCTATTCATATACGTCACTCACGCAACATTCGGCGACGGCAACTGTTTTTGGTTTTTTTTTGCTAACGAATGGCTTCTGTCACGCTACTCGACCATTGCCTCGCCTCACGATTTCAGCGCACTATGATTTATCAGCGACTTTTTGAGTTTTTTTATTTTTCGCGCATTTTTATGGAAGAGTCAATTATACTTTGCACTGTTGTGTCACTCAAATATTGTAATTCATACATTTTTCGCTGCAATTTTCCAGTCTTGATACGACTTATGACCACTTGTCGCTGTTAAATTGTCGTACGACTGCTTATTGAAAAATGAAACTAAAAATGACTCAAGAAACCGAGTGCTTACGTGATATAAGCTGTGAAGAAAAGTTCTAGCTATGAAATTGTATTTGTAACCTAGTGCGTAAAATTGAAGTTGCTTGAGAGTGACATCGATGCATTGTTGTCATATACTTATAGAATTATTTATTTAAATGTGATACAAACATCTTCTCGAGTTTTCCATTTATCTATATTCATTTTTTCGTTGACATTGGCGTTGCAGGTTATAAGCATGGGGCTATCACTTTTGGATATTACTTAATTTTTCAACTCCTCCTGCCTGATTGCATGTTGGGGCTTAGTTCGAGCATGTCACCTGCAATGTTGTAGAATGTGTTTCTTAAAGAAAATTTTGGATTAAATTTATTTAAGGTTGAAAAAGATTGATTTTGTTTGGGAAATCTGATGAGTCATGCAGGGTTATGTTTTTGAGGTAACCTCATTTTTATTTTTACTAGGTTTGGTATAAAAGTGGTTTTATACTTTCAAAATTCATTTATGTATCTTTTCGTTCATATTTTTAATATTTCTGATTTCTTTATTATTTCCAGAAATTTTACCGATATAATCAGCTTTCGAGAAAACCAGAAAAGGAATCAGATGATACTAAGGTGTCCGTTATACCATATTGGTTAATTTTTAAAAAAACGTCCTTACAACTCTACAATGTGTTTTTCACATTCTTCGTCACATTATCGATATTTCCTTCCGTACACTCAGGTAATTTTTTTAATGTGAAATGATAAAAAAAAAAGTATTTTTAGTAGCAGTAGCAGTATGGCGCTAACCTGTATTACAACTATAGGCTTCATCTAAGCTAGAATCCAATTGTTTTCATCTGTCTGCCTCTCTCATCAATAAATGATAAGCAGAGTGTTACGGTAGAAATGTAAGTGATTTAGTTGATTTACGAATCGATTTTACTCAATGTGTGAACCAAGTTATTCTTCTTCAAAGTGATGATATCTGATATCAACTGCCAACTGCTCTCTTTGAGCAATTGGGTCCTACGATAAATTTCTGTTGCTATGAATTGTGATTTTTTCAGTGTTTTATTGCTGTTTAGAATTTATATTTGTATATATGTTTGTATCTTACCTGCTTACTTTAAAAAAAGTGTTTCTTAACCCTAAAAACTAGCAGAAGAGAGCTCAAGTTAAGATCGTAAAAAGCTGAGAGAGCTGCTAGTAAAATTTATACTAGCAGAAAATATCTACTGCCATATAAAGAAACAGCTGCAAAAGCACATATGTATTCAAGCATTTTTTTATTGTGTTTGTATAATTGTTTTGAATTGTGAAAATAAAAATTCTATTGATTGATTTTCAAGTGTTGATATTTTCTTGCTAGTTTCTGCTTATTTTCCGTTCCTTTATTATTTCTTTATTTCGCTCTTTGTGAGAGTAGCTGTAAATTTTTTTCGCCTGATAGCTAGTAGCTACTAGCAGTTAAGATACAAAGCTTTAGTATCCACACCGAAATGATATATTTGAAGGAAGATATATGTCAACTATGTTATTCGAAATGAGTAAATCTTTTGACGAGTTTCTGGCGAGACGTAAACTTTGGTCTCTTGACATTCTTTGTTACAGAATTTTAGTGAGTGTCGAGCCAATCAGACCTAGTATCCCACTAGCCCCGTAGAAGCTTACTATGATGAACAATTTTCCGGTGTTTGCTGGTGTGCAGATTAAATCAAAACAAATTTGTTTCCAAACATTTTTTTGAGATTATCGTTGGAGTCATCAAAACAGAAGATTTTCAATATCAGCATCAGGAAAGCATTTGAGTTGCCAGGGCACCACTTCTTTAACTGAAAAGAGACTTTATATATTAGAATTGCTGTTAACTACCTGATCGGTTCTTCCTTTGTCGATAAGTAAAAGTAACATTAATGAAATCAAATACAAGCACGCAAAAATAAAAATTTTAAGAAAGTTGTAAATTTTTTGTCAAGTGCAAAATATCTGGGACGTGCAATTGATAAGAGACGTACGTGCAGAGACCACATGAAAATCAAGAGAACCCAGCTCAGGTTAAGGTTTGCGCAGTTGTACTGGCTCCTAAGATCAATATCCCCTGCTTAACATGTTGAGGTTATTCAAGCATTTCAGTTCTTTGCACTATAGTGGGTGTACCTTTTATGTTAGAAATGACGTCCACAATCGAGACCTAACATTATCCTGTGTAAAATAAACTATAGAAGGATTTAGTTAGTAGTCGTCACCTCTCTCGATTGGAGAACCATGATAAATTGGGATCCAACTAGATAATAATCAATAATATAGCTGACTAAAAAAATATCAAATCTCTTTTTTCGAATTAATTGCTTTTTTCAAAAAATAATAATAAGACAGATTCTAAATAAAAGTGAATATTATACAAAAAAACAAATAATAATAATAAAAAAAGTATTATTCTTATCGACTGATAAGTAAAATAATATGACAACAGTTAATGTTCAAAATTAATTAATGCCAACCAGATTAATTTACAATTTAAAATATCTGTCCCACCATAGCATTATTGTTGGAGAACAATATGAAAGAAATGGCACATGTTATTACCGCAGTGTTTGTGTAGTATGTGGTTATCTACATTTTACGTCCAAATGTACCCTGAGGAAGGATGATGACAAAAACATGTACATCAACTGTCGCACCTAATTTTCCGCAAAAAAAAAACAAATGTATATTCAAGTTAGGATGAAAACATGTTTTATGTATTAGTTAAACTGTAGACTTGCATAATGTCTGTTTTAATTCAAATCGTTCGCCATTCATAGCTTTTAAAGCTTCACAGGGTTTTAGAAGCTACTACCGACAGCACGCACAACTTCTTCTCGAATTTCGTCCCAAACTCTGTGCAAAAAACGCTAAACTGATTTAGTTCTAAGTTTTTTACATTTGTTAATTTCCCCCTCATATATCTCCATGTACAAAAATCCGAAGGATTCAAATCTGGAGAAGAACTCAACAATTCTTGGCTTATGTATCGGGGCAGAATCTTGTTGAAAGCAGTTTGGATTATTGCGAAACATATTGGATAAATAAGAAAAGTGTCCAAGAAACACTTCTTCCAAATAATATTTTGTGTTAATTCCTTTTTTCTTATAAGCCTTCATTTTCAAATTTTTATTAATAATGTTTCTGATGGGTTTTCGGCTCAACCTGAGGTCCTTAGCCTGTTTCCTTCCGGAAATTGCCCAATTTTTCCTTATTTGCTCACGTACAATCCTTACCAGACTTGGAGTTCTGACCGTGTAGCTGCGACCAGATTTTTTTGATATTTTAACACTAACACTTTTCTTAAATCAAGCCACAGTCCATTGAACGAATCTGCGTTCAACATCAAGGCTCTGGAGGATCTTAACAGTTTCACCTGTTGTTTTCCCTTGAAAATGTAATTTTTCACCAGCTCTCTTTTTGATTCCATTGTTCATAAAAACTGATTTTCATTGATGAAACTTAAAATTATGTTGCGTATATTCAATATATATGTGTCACTAGAAATGTGTAATGGGAAAGTCACTCTGATAACTACAGGGGTTTCGAAAGCGTTGAAAGTAAGTACAGTAAAAGCTCTTTATTCGCGGGGTATATGTTCCATAAATATGCCGCGAATACAGAAACCGTGAATACGGAACGGTAATTTATATGGAATTATAGGGGTGACAAAAAAAAACAACAAATATATAAAAAAAATATTTAATTGAAGTTTTTGAATATTTTAATTAATTATCTTAAGGCTAATGCGCAATGGTTTGAAGAATTCTGTAATTTTTTCTTGCTTGGCTTGTTGAAGCCTCTTCTTCAATGGGCTGTGAATTTAACATTGCCTCCAAGTCGGTTTTAGCCAAATCTTCATCTTGCGATTCAAGCGATTCTTGAATGTCACTTGATTCTTTCTATTCGAACCCATCTCGTCCTATTCCATTCGCGATTTCGGCTATGTTCACAGTCAAAATTTGAGCTTGCACAGATTCTTCGTCATTTTCTGCAGTCACAGCAGGCCACAGTTTTTTCCAGCATGACTTCAATATGTATGGCTTCAGTTCTTCCAATGATTCTTTTATGTTAACGATGCATTTTGTTATGCCAAATTTCTTCAATATGAAGGTTCGTCTAATGTAATAGAGCTTAAAGGCCTGAATTATGCCTTGGTCCATAGTTTGAAGCAAAGCTGACGTGTTGGGAGGTAAAAATTTCACTTTTATATTTGGATGCATAGTTTCAAGTTTGCGAGGATGACCTGGTGCATTGTCCAAAACTAGAAGCGCTTTCAACTTCAGAAACAAAACAATTCCGGAACCAGTCACAAAAAATAGCACTTGTAACCCACGCTTTCTTATTAGCACGCCAACACTGGAAGGTTGTCCTTGTTTGATTTTTTAAAGCCCTAGGACTTTTCGCTTTTAGAAATGAATGATTTGTTTGGCATTCTCTTCTAAAACAGTGCAGTTTCGTCTGCATTAAATACTTGCTCAGGTTTGTATCCTCCATCAGCTACTAGGTTTGCAAGATGCTGCTTCTCCAACGATGTTGATGTTATGCAATGATTGTCTCACCTTAAATTTATTGAACCAACCTTCCGATGCTTGAAATCCGACATCTGTACGTGCACCACTAAAACTACCATCAGGTTCCCGGACCATTGGACCACTCAGGGGTACTCTTTTTTGGTTGCGGTCTTCGATCCATAATGACAACGCCACTTCCTTTTTTTCTATTGCTGGATCGCGAACAATTTTCGCTGACAGTGAAGTTGAAGCTACAGACGACCTTATTTTATCTTCGGATTTTTTTGTCGATCGTACGGTTAATTCGTTGACATTGAACGAGTGTGATATGGATGCAAATGACTCTCCAATGCGTATACGATCAAGCATTTCTATTTTCACTTTTAGCGGTAACACAGATTTATTTCGTGTCGAAACTTGTTTCTCATTTTTTTTAGTTGACATGTGAAAAAAAAAATAATAAAACAGGCAAAGCGGCTTTTACTATAGAACAGCAACATTTAAAAATATACTTTATTCATTGAGTAACACGGTTGCATTCTCGAAAACAACAATCGCGGCGAAGGCGGCTTATGTAAAAGTTCTTGGCGATATCATTTAACAACATACTCTAGGTAAAGTTGTAATAATATCTGTTTTACTTTTTTATTAGTCCATTTAACAAGGATACTGTGTTGGATGCCTATTGGAATCTCTTTATTTTTAATTACAATATATACTTCGTAGATCCGCGAGTAAAGAAATTTTTAGCCGCGAATATAGGAAATGCTACCCAATTTTTTAATCCGCGAATCGCGAAAACGCGAATAAAGGAAGCGCGAATAAGGATCTTTTACTGTACTCTATTAAATGACAATATTTATGTCTACAATGCAAAAATTGAGTCAAAACCAAATTCTGCAAACCTTAAGTAAAAAATGAGTGAATAAAATATTTGTTTATGGAGTGCTAACAGTGTTAACAAACATAAATAGGGATGATTCGATTTCTATATGAAAAAAATATAGATATAATGTTACTATTAGAAACTCATTTTACAAGGAAGAGTTATTTCTTTTACCGGGCTTTAGACTGTACAAATGAACCAGACGAAAAGGTGCCTGGTAGATCAGCAGAGTTGTTTACAAATCGATTATACCACCATGTTACTACCCAGTTACAAGCTGCAACAATATCATTATTGCCGACAGCTATATATTGC